GTCGCTCTCTCTCGGTCCCTGTCCCCTTCCCCCCTTCTCCGGCTCTGTCGCTCTCTCTCGGTCCCTGTCTCGTTCCCCCGTTCTCCAGCTCCGTCGCTCTCTCTCATTCTCTGGCTCCGTCGCTCTCTCTTGGTCCCTGTCCCGTTCCCTCATTCTCTGGCTCCATCGCTCTCTCTTGGTCTCTGCCCCCTTCCCTCATTCTCCTGCTCTATCGCTCTCTCTCGGTCCCTGTCTCGTTCCCTTGTTCTCTGGCTCTGTTGCTCTCTCTTGTTCCTTCATGTTCTCTCTCGTTCCTCTGTTCTCTTTTTTGTTCTCTCTCACTCTCTTTCCCTTGGTTCCTCCCTCCTTCCTTCATTCTCTTGTTTCCTTTTTCCTTCTCTCATTCCCTCTCTCTCTCCCCCCAGCTGGCCACAAGACGATTGTGCGGAAGAACTGTGTGGCCGAGGTGAAATGCAGCACCCAGGACACGGCCACCTGGGCCGGCGTCACCTACACCACCTCCTACACCTGCTGTGAGGGCGATTTCTGCAATTAGGCCAGGGCCCCGGAGCACCCCTGGGGCCGGCGCCTCTGACTGCCCCCCATTTCAGGGCTCGGATTTGTCTTGCGTGCCCCCAAGTTTCACCTCCCTTAAAAACGACTCGCTGACGTCAAAATACGGAAGTGTCCCAGCTCGCTATGACTGAACAGTGGCTGACTTTCTCAGTTTGATGCTATAATTAGAAAATAAATCAATTGGAATAGAAATCCTGTGCTTACATTTCAGGGTATAGGACATAAGAGCGGCCAGATTGGGTCAGAGCAAAGGTCCGTCTAGTCCAGTGTCCTGTCTCCGACAGTGGCCAATGCCAGGTGCCCCAGAGGGAGTGAACAGAACAGGGAATTTTTCCCTGTCGCCCATTCCCAGGTTCTAGCAGTACAGGTGAGCCTCATCTTACGTGCATTTAACATGCGCGAATTCAGCGTTGCACGGTCGGCAAAAAAAAAGAGAGAGAAAAATAACAATTTAAATACTGTACCTGTAGTGCGGGCGATTCCGCCCGCCATTACACGCAATCTAATTTTGACTATACGCGGTTTTCGCTTTAGGCGCTGACAGCGGAACATAACCCCAGCGTAAGATGAGACTCGCCTGTATAAACAAGTCATCGTCTGTAGGAAATTTTAGTTTGTGGTGATTCTGAGATTGGACGGGGACAGAGAGAGCGACAAAGCCAGAATTTTTTCTGTAGCCTGTTGTCAAACTAGGCAAATATTGAGAGGAGTTGATGGACTGCCTGGAAGAGCTCTTCATACCCCCGGTGGACTTGTACCCCTGTTGAGAACCGCTGCTCTAGGCATTTAAGAAACACAACATGCAGGTGTGCAAGGGATTCAGCGAGACTTGCGTTAAGCCTAAGGCAGTCAGGCTGGAAATATCCGGGGATTGAAAGCTATTTGGGTGTTTAAAAATGCAACTGGGCACCAGGTTCCTGATCCCCTAACTCTGATTTCAATGGGGATCGGGCGCCTGGACGCTTTTGAAAAATCCCCCCAGGCGCCTCTTGGCATCTGTTGTGTTTAATACCTTTAAAAATCTGTCCCCAAGCCTTTATAGACCAGAGTCAAGTCAAGAATCTACATTTCTAAGAACATCTACTTGTCACCGGCTGTTCTCCATGGCTTCGGTGCCTCCAGGCCGCTCGGGACACATTAACGAACTGCCAATGGAATAGAAGTCGCACTTTTTCTGAATTCGCGCCCGCTGGGGGATTTCTCCAGCTGGGTCTAGTTTTAAGCGATCGTTTTCGATGTTTCCCGGTTGGCTTGGACCCACCTCAGCCCGACTGGATGGTTTTCTATGTCGTGGGGCAAGTACACCCCATCCCCCTTTGGGGTGTGGCAAAGGCGTCACGGATCCACAGTTAAGTCCGCCTGCCTGCCCTTAGCTTCAGGGCAGTACGGCCCAATGGCCAGAGTCAATATAATTGCGCTGTGACCCCAGTCTGTATGGCTGACGTCCTTAGCAGAGTTGAGTGGCCGAGTGGCCAGAGTCAGGAAAGTTGCCCTCCTTAGCAGGGCTATGCGGCCTAATGGTCAGAGTCAGGGAGGTGAGCTGCCACCTGCAGAGGGCGGCAGGGGTAGGGGGGTCCGGGCCCTCCCTCTCCACCAGGTCCCAGCCAGGGCCCTGGCAATGGTGAGTGCACGTGGCACTGAGTCAGCGAGGTGCCGAGCGAAACACGCCAGCCCAAGATCCGGTTCTGTAACCGGTCCCCTGCCCAGTTCCCCT